GATCTGATGTAAATTAATTTCATATTACTATTTTTATATAGGGGTAATTCTATATATCACTTAATATTAAGAAAAAAACAAATATAACGAATGGGGGATTTTAATAATCACATTACTAAATTTTGATCCCTGAAATTTTTGGTAATATCAATGTTCACTTTGTCTGGTTTTGTTGCAGCATGCCCCATATAATAGATTTGGTGGTTTGTCCTCGTGCGATTTTTTTCGCTACTAGTTTAAAAAAAGTATAAATGACATCATAAATAAAAAAATATTAATTATTTAAACCTCCAAAATTTTTTTTCTTCAACTCAATTAAAACAATAATAAATTCAAAATAATTAAAAAATCAATAAAATATGGCTATTTCTCAAGTCGATACAAAAATTATCTTTAAATCAAATGATAGCCACGAAGAATTTTTTGTATTTGGAAATCCTGATTTGGTTTGTAATTAATTATTTTTACAAAGAAAATAGTCATTATTAATAAAACTATCATCATCATTAAATTTCTTCTTTCTGGTTATTGATGGATCATCTTTAGGTGCTAAAATGGCGTAAAGATCAGACAATTCCATTGGTAGATGTTGTTCAAAGTAATAAATCAATCAAGCAATCAAAAAAATAATTTTTTCCTGATAAATAAATAAATAAATATATATTTATTCATTAATTTATTCTCAAAAAATAATATATTGTTAGGTTTCGATGTTTATGAAACTGTTAATGGTGGTAATCAAGGTATTGCTGGTAGACCTTCGAAACAAAGACTGGAGAATACTTTTGGTACATCAGATACTACACAAGTGATTACCCATATACTTCAACATGGAAATGTTCATAATAGTCATAAATCTAGTTCTAAGGATCATCGAGGTAATTATCATTTCATTATTATTATAACTATAATAATTATTTTATTGATTATTATTTTGTTTTCTTTTTCATAAATATTTAGCTGCTATTAACGAAACGCGTGGTAAAGGAATTTCTACTAGTGAGAGTGCAACAGGAGTTCATAATTAATGAAATAGATGATTTGAATGAATTGGAATGAATTAATTAATGAACTTTTATTTTATTTTAATTTTTGCAAATAAATAAACAAAACAATAATTTTTAATTAATTATTAACGTTAGCCAGATATTATTTATTTATTACCAAATATTTATTGTCACTATGATGAGATACTGCAACACTGATCAGAGGGTCCCAAACCAATATATATATATGTATAAAAGCAAAAAAAAAATCATACCAATTTCGAAAGTATTTTTGTATTTATGATGTTGGATGATGAAAAACACCACAATTTATCTCCATTTACACAAACTTTTTGACAATAGTTAATTAATTTTAGTTATTTGAAATGACGATATCTACTATCACCGTTATCGTCACTATTACCACTACCACAACCATATCATTCTTTTCAGTTTAATATTTGTGAAATTGATAATGATGAGAATGCAATTGTGTGGCTAACAAATTTGTATAAATTCGATAAAAAGAAACGGACGCATTTTTTCCAATATAAGTTGTAAAAATGTATATATTTACTAATAGAGTCAAAGTTGGTGTGTGTGGAAATTCATAGACGCTTATTAATTTTTTTCAAGTTAATAATATTTTGTTTATTATAAATAAATTTGTTTTTGATTTTTGTGATTTTTGATTTTTATTAGCAATATTAACATAGTCTTGCTAAGCTACATTTCCACAGATCTGAACAAATTTCAACGTTTGTCCATTGCTTTCTATCTTCAACATTTGGACTTAACTCATCACTATTAACTTCTCGGATGTTATCATTCTCATTCTCATTTTCATTCTCGTTCACATTTTCATTATCACTTTCATTTTCTCCCCATTCCAAATTTGTTCTACTATTATTACTTCTACTTCCACCATTATAATAGTCAAAATAATCATTGTCATATAATACCCAAATAACGTTATCGACAAAACTTCTAACCAATCCCACAACATCTTCATTATTTAATCCACTTTCAATATGAACACTTGCTTTAATATGTCTAATAATGTGTACTTTACCTTCTTCAGTTTCACAGAAAATAACTTTACGTTTATCAATAACTTTTGTACTAAACAAATTTTCATTGCTTAACAAAGAAATTATTTGATGTTTCTCTTGTTCGTTAGATATTGGACATACTAAATAAACATCATATCTTTTACATATTAATTGAAGAAATGATACAGCATTTTCCAGAAATACATATACTGATGTATTGGTATCTGATGTTGAAGATGATGACGACGGCAAAGATGTTGATGTTGATAATAACTTTTTTAATAAAGTCTAATGTTTTTTTTTTTTTTAAAAAAATAAAAAAAAATTAAAAAGTTTTTTCTTTTA